GCTTTCCATTCTCAGGGAAACCCTTATCACAGTCCCCGATGCCCTAGAACCCACCAGAAGAAGGGTAACTCGCCGCACAGCTGTACGGCGCGGCGCACTTGTCGTGTTGCACGTGAAATGGGAACGTGGGAATGGATTGTGCACTAAGCACACACACACACAGAGAGAGTGGAACGACAATCGCCATTGAGGCGCCACCTAGAAATTATTTATTGTTTAAACTGCAGTCTCCGCCCCCGGCCCCCGTCCCCCGGCCCCCCGCTTACCGCTTCCCCTCCCCTCCTGATGGCACATAAAAAAGAGAGCGTTTAGAATTTATTAACACACCGTTAAGGAGGGGTTGCTGTTTTGTGGGAGGGGTTGGGAGTTTTTACCATTTTCCTTCTGCCGCTTGTTTTTTTTGTTTTTGTTTTAATTGACCGTTGCAAATTCGTTTGGCGCCAATTTCATTTTCACGCCGCCTGGCGCCGTCGCCGTCGCACGCGGCGTATGCGCAATGTATTCTCTGCTGCGTGGCATGGAGTTCTAGGCAGAACTGTGTTGCACAGTGTGGCGGTGGGGGGGAAGCAGACACGTGTGAATTTTGTTGATTTGTTCGCTCTGGCCTTTCCCCCTCGAAAGAGAGCGCACATAGAAAAACAAGAAGGAGTGGAAAGAGTGGCAGAGAAAGTGGGGGTTGGGTTGGGGGTTGGGGGGGGGGCTACATGCATGTATCCCACGCGTGGTGTTAATTAATAAATTATGGCTTTTAATTCAATTGTTTTGCCGTTGCGACGACACGTCTATTCATTTATAATCGAATTTCGAACAGAAATTCAAAAACCAAACGCGAAAAAAAAACATGAAACAAACATTAAACTCCAGAACTCTATTGCCATTACTCGTTGCATTGGAAAATAGCAGGGGGAAATGGAAAATAATTGAATAGAAAACCATGTGGGTTTTTGTTTTTGCCTGCCATTTGCCATTTCTGCAGCCATCCTTCAACGTATTGTAGTCCTTTGGCATTTCAGCACCGATTGATTTGACCTTTAAACTGTAATTGGATTAAACCAGAAAATGCAATTATGGATAGGATAGGATAGATTCGGCTGGAGAACCTATTTGGGGCTCTCCTTTAGAACAAATGTGAATGGAGTCTTTTCGGATTCTGTATGGAAATTCTCCTCTTCCCATTCAATCATTTCCAAAGACACTTAACCTTTTGTATTCCATCTCGAGTCCCCATTCCCATGACCTTCAGCTTCCCTTAGCTGGACTGCTGCCCCGGCGGCTGTGCCCCAAAGGAACTATAAATATTCAGAGGTTGAATCGATGAGATGCCCCAAAGGGAAACCACTGAAATTAATATTTAAAATGGAAAGAAAATACACACACATTTCCACCTTTAAACTGTACCCTCGAAATGTTTTGTTTGCCTCATAATTGACCACAAAAATATTTCGCTTCAACAATTAAATGAAATATTTCTTTGATCAATGTGATGCCCCCTCCCCTTGCCCCCACCATTGCACTGCGTTCCAATGTTTGCTAATAAATTAAACAAATTGAGGACGGATCGTCGGGTCCATTGATGTGTAACTCTGGGATACCATACCACACCACCACCACCGCCGCGGACCCATCGGACGCCAGTCAGCGGCTTTTATTAATGGGTAAACTTAGTGACAACTAAATGGAGAGCTCCAGGGGCCTACGGAGGAGGGGTGACCGAACCGGTTAAGCCAGGGGGGGAAGACAGTAATTAAACGAGACCAGCCCCAGCCCCAGCCCCAGCCCCAGAGACCTGAGCCCCAGACCCAGACCCAGACCCAGACCCAGACCCAGATCCCCAACGAAACAGGTGGCAAAGCCAGAGACCAATCGAAAGACCGAAAGCCGAACGAAACCAAAGATCACACTATGGGATCTGATCTCCACCAAAGGGGAGCCTCCGCAGGGGCTGGGGCTGAGGCTGAGGCTGGGGCAGGGGCTTACATACAACTATCTTTGCTAATGATTCGCTTTTCTGGTCTCTGGAATGCCCAACCCCCTCCCGCCCTTCGCCGAACCACTACAGCGAAATCCCCACTAATCCAAAAACCATCTTCGATTTTAGTTGAATTTTTGTTGAGAAATTAATTTTTTATGCTAAGCGTAGATTTGTTTTATGCAAATTTTCGTATTATAAAAACATATACACGGTGGTATAGCTCTCTCTCGCTCTCACTCAGTCTCTGCGGAGTACATCTATATATTTTTTGAGGCGACATTGTGTCTCGCCGAACTCCGGACTTGTCGACCATTAAAAATGCTAATTTCCTCAAATATATATATTTTTTTTTTGCTCGGAAGAAGCAAAAACCACAGCAGCATCTTCTCCGCTGGCTTTTGTGTTTGCTCATTAACAAATGAATTAGCCAGAAAATGCTAAAACGCTGAACCCAAAAGCAACAACAAAAAAAAGCAAGAAAATACAACGAAAATTTGATTCGAAAAAAAAAAAAACCAAAAAATCTTTATAACCTATATAGAAACTAAGAGGATTAATGGTTTATTGATTTAGGATTAGATGCAGATGATTTTCAAAAAGTTTAAGATAAGATTAAGTGCACATACACTTTTGAAAATTGAAGGTTCCCTTAAAATGGAACAAACAATTCATATTTCTTAGCTATTAATCAAATTTCAGAGAAAACCATTCACAAAGAAATCTATAAAAGAGTAAAAAAAACCCATCCATAATTTTGTTAGCCTCTTTTTTTGTGATGTATCCATGAAAAATTCGCTCATCAATCCAGCAATCATTCAATTGTAATGTAATTCACATTTCTGAAGCTTTGCTCAATTTTCTCAGCAATCTACCCACCAAAAAGCAGAGTTATAGCATTGAGACCCCAATAGACCATCCATAACTCAAGTTTCTGGCATGATTTATCAGCCAAATTTTGTCCCTCTATTATTAATTGTTCATAAATCATATTAAACTTAAGAAATCAATTGGTTTAATGATTCTTGTTTGGAATTTCGTATAAGATATGATCCGTCATAGTCCAAAATATGGTTTGCCTCCATCCATTTGAGGCTTTATCGATACTTTAGTTATTTTTGGTCCGTACAAAGTTTACCGTATCTTATCGGCAGATAGATTTTTTGGCAATATGTATTGCTTTTTGATTTAAAATAGTTCTAGAAATTCCCGACTATAAATAATACAGCTTTCTTTAAAAAAGACAAATTTCGAATTAATCACATCAAAAATAACCATAATAATATCAAAGAAAACCCACAAACGTAAAGGGGAAAAACTCTATGACGAAACAGAAGCAGCAACAACAACGACAACGACAACGACAGCGACAGCGACGTCGCCAGCAAAGGCAGTGGGTAAGGCGAGGGTAAAGAGAGTATGAGAGAGAGCAGCGACCGCGCTGCCATCTTCCCCCTCGATTTTAATGTTTTGTTTTCGCTGCATCTCGCTCGCACCTCTGCTTGAGTTTCGTAGTAAAAACGTAAACGCGAGCAGAGGCAGCGACTGCGCCACGACAGACAAGTGAATTTGCACTCACACACAGGCAATATTCACTCTCGCATACATACACACATGCGAAAAAAGGCGCGCGCTTGATTGAAACCAAAACAAGGAACGTCTGGGACAAAACGGAACACTGCCAAAGAGAGACCCAAGCATTGGATTCACAATTCACAGTGAATTGTGGACTGTGGACTGTATGTGAGGAACTTAAGAGCGCCGATCAATGAAACGATCCAAGACCAAGCAGATTGAATGGAGTGAGCTCCAAATAGTTGAAATTCCAGCAATGCACATAATTGAGGTTTCTTGTGGATGAAAAGAGAGAGAGAGAGAGACAGAGGGACAGATAGACAGATGCATGCCACACAGAGTGGCACAGAGTGAGCGCCGTTACAAACCGTTACAACTGCCATCAGAAATTTCGGGAAAAACTGTCAAAGGCCCCGAGCAATGTCGGCCCTGACTCATGGTTGTTTTTGTGTTGTTTCGAAAAAGATCTTTCTTGAACAGAAAAATTACCAAAAAAGCAGGTCGTTTTTCAAGAGGAAAACAAGTGCGTCACTTGCCCCATAAATAATTTATGGGGGGCCGCCACCGCTGCATGCAAATTTCGATGCAAGGGAAAAAAACGCAAATCGCCAATAACGGAACCATGACTTGCAAATTGCTTGTGAAATTAATGCCATATAAAGTGGTACTATTTTGGGTGCACTTCTATTGGATTCACTTGATCGATCTCCCTGCTCTTCCTCTGTTCTGTCCTCCTGTTAAATAACAGCGTTCCATAGCCTGTCAAGTACATATATTCCCTTGCTTTATCTAAAGTTAACTGTTAACTGTTTTCATATCCATCATCTACCGTTACAGCATTCCATTTTCTCCCTCTGCTCTTCGTTCTTTTCTTTTAGAGCTCCTTCAAGAATTTCTATCTCTTCCCTCCACAATCCAGCAAAAATCCCCTCCACGAATCTCATTCGCTGCGCGCCTTTTTGAAATGTTCCATTTTGTATGGCCGTACTTCCAAGCGTTCCACTTTCATTCCACATTCATGCCGAGAGGGAGAGAGTTTTTGTTTATTTTGTTCATCGCTCAAAAATGGGGCGCAAAATGAGCGTAAGACTCTCTTTTTGACTCCAACCGCGTGCCATGGAAAGGTATGGACAATAGGCAAAAAAGGCCCAGCAACATTTCATAGACTTAGCCACCTCACCTCACCGTGTCTTATGCTGTGAATGCTTACAAGCGCTGTAAACAATCACGGTATGTTTGAGAATCGGGGTGAATTTTATCTTGCATGCGTTTGACTCTCTGTGCCGTTTCGCCTGCTGTCCCTTACCTTTTCCTACCGTACCGGCAACACGGTGGCCAGCAACATGAGTCCGAAACATACAAAAGCGAGGACCACAAGAAGTGGGAAAATTTGTCTCAAACATTTTTTTCCGCGGACCCGTAAACAACACCATCTTGTCGAATTTTTTTCTGAATTATTCAAAAGTTCAAGTTTTTGGTCGACCCAAAGGCCAAAAACACAAGTCCAAACCTAAGAAATCTTTTGGTCGAAAATATTCAGTAATTTGAACAAATACGGAGAAGATCGGAAATTACAATTGAATTGCGTGCTTGAGTATTATTTAAACAAGAACGAGAATCGGCAAAACAGCAGCAGCAACACCAAACGGCCCTAAGCAGTTGAGTTCTCTGCGCGCCAAAAGGAAAATCCCAAAACAAAGAACGATAGAAAATGTTGTCCTTTTCGTCAAATTTTTTCTGTGTGTGAACGTGAAGAACCGTTGTGCCTGTGGCTCATTGTGTGTAATAACTGTAAACTGTTCAAAATCAAAGTGTTAATTAAACAAATAATGCACCAGCAGAGGATTAATCAAATAACAATACCTGTTCCAATCTGACAAGAAGAAACACCTATATCGAGCAAAGATAAAACCAAATAGGAGTAGTGGCAGCAACGGAAGGAGACATCCAGTGTTTACCGTTGTCTTTTTCCACCCAAATCTCCGACCCGCATTCGCTTGCGGCGGTCCCCTCCGGCCTCCTCATGAAATGCAAAAGTTGGTCCAATAAATTCAACAACTTCGTCGTGCGCCGATTCAAGGCGTCAATCAAGGTAATAAAACAATAACTGTACTGTTCAATAAATTAATGTTAAGAACACTTACTTAGGGTTTTTACAAATGAGCAAAAACACAAGCAAGGCTTGGAAAATCCGAATGGACAGAGTCTTGTGGAGATGTTAAGACTATCCACAAGCTAGTCAGGAACAAAATTAAAACACAATTTTGCAATTGTCTTGGACATTTTAATATTTTCTCTATATTTAATTAATTCTGGAGTAAAAAAACTCCAAGTCCAGGAACAACTTATTTACAAAAAAAAAAAACTTCTATTAAAAACAATAAATTCAGTAAGAACCGCTTTAAAGCCCATCAAAATAAAACTGAATTAATGCAAAACGAAATATATACCTACAACAAAAAAAAAAAAACAACATGCACCGATGTGGGTATATTGTTTTTAAAAATAGACATTTATGTATAATTAAGTTTCTTGACATCTGGGAAAGGGGTGGGCCATAAAAATAAAGTCTCCGTGTCGCTGCCGCCTGTCTGCCAGACAGAGTCAAAAAAACGGTAAAACAATTTATTTCAAAAAAAAAAAAAACCGTAGTTAAAACTGCTGGAATACAGCTCCCTTTTGACATTTAAGCAAACAAAAGACTCAAAAAAAATATAATAAAGATACTTAAAATGTATTTGAAAAGATATATATAATTAATGCTGGTTTTCGACATTAAATAATCAATTTGATGGCGATTAATCTGTAAAAAAGAGTAGTTTTGAAACAATACAAGTTTGAATGGCAAACGCGGCCCCATAATAATAAATCATCTATTTATTTAATTTTCTTTCTCTTGTCTCCTTACACTGCCCCTTCCTTCTCTCCACCTCTATCTCTTTCTGTCTGTCCGTCTGCAATCAGCCAAATGTGAAGTTGTTTACCTCTCTCCCTCAGTCCACTGCATCACATATCTCACCCATCTTCCTCTGTCTCCCTCTCTTCACTACTCATCTCCTTTACCATCTTCGCAGTCGACAACATTTTTTTGTACCGTTTCCTTTTTGCAAAACCAAAAGAAGATGATGAAGCAGTGGAAGAGGAGGAAAAGGAGGAAGCAGACAACGCAGACGCCTTTCACTTGCATTTCTGTTGCTCATTTTTTTTGTTTTCTTGTTTCTTTTATAGTTATTATTTGTTGTTATTATTACAAACACACACACTCGTAGTTGCACTCCCTCACACACACACACACACACACACACGTGTATTTGATAATATTTATTTACATTTTGAAGTCTGCCGCCGCAGCTGCGACGTCAAAACGTAAACGTAAAACGTCAGCGCCAGACGTCGGCGTCGCAGTCGCGCCGCTCATGTTTTGTTTACTACACGACTCTCCCTCTCCTCTCTCTGTCTATCTTTCTGTTGTCTGTCTTCTTCTTGCCCTCTTCCTCTGCTGCTCTGCCTGTTCCACTTCAGTTTTCCTTGCGCCTCCCTCTTCCACTTCTTCTGCCATCGTGTTTCTCACGCATTTTGTTTTGACCGCACTTCCTTGTTGTCTCTGTCCCACTCTCTCGGTTGTTCCGTTTGTTGTTTATTTTTACATGACTTTCGCAGTCGGTCCGCTCTCTCTTTGCTTCTCTCTTTTGGGTGCATGAAAATTCCTAAAATTCTTTTTTCTGTTTTCTCGCCTCTTTTGTTTTTGTCACATTTTCCAGCGGGAAAAACTAGTTTTTCCAGCAGCGCCGCATTCTTTTCGGTCTGTCTCTCCCTCTCTCTCTCTCTCTCTCTCTCTCTCTCTCCCGTTCTGCTTCTTCTTGCTTGTTTACAGTTAGGAATGCGGTCGCTCTTTTACAACTCAGGGCGAAGAGAGCGCTTCGCTTCTCTTCTTTTGGGATGTTGTTCATTTTGCTGGCTGTGTGCGAGAGCGAGATGCAACTTGTTTTTGGCTTTGGACTTTATTTATTTATAACAATTACAATGCAACAATTACAGCAGCAATGAGCGACAGGGAGAGAGAGAGAGAGAGAAGGAACAAGCCAGAGCAGAAAAAAAAACTGGCGCGCAACTTGTTCGCCTTGGCGCTGGCGGCGACTGCGCTGCTTTGGCCCCATTTAACTTCACGAGCGCCGCTCTCGTGTGCTCTCGCTCTCGGCTGTCTTCGGGTTTTGATACTGCTTCGTTTTTGGGGTATCCACATGCTCTTTTTTTCCCACTGCTTAGACTTTTGGGGCGCTTTCAACCGAACGAACGTTGGGCTCCCGCGGATCGTCGGAAGCACACACCTATACATTCAAACGGCCGCTGATAGCCACACACTCGCGCGCATACACAAAGTGTGGTGGTGTTAGGGCCCCCGCAGTGCGATTAAATAATACTCCACAAAAGGCCAAAAAAAAAAAAACAAAAAATTACATAAAATAGGAATATCACAGAGCCAAAGAGAGTGCATTCGTTCTCTACTCTCAAAATATTTTTTTGAAGTGTTCGTCTCCGTGTTGTGTTCAAATGTTTCAAACGAAGAAATAAAAAACAAATTGTTTTCATTAGTCAAATTACGTATAGCCGAAAAAAGTACCGTTCCTATAAAAAATACACACACAAGCGTATTTATGCATATATGTACAGTAAACGTTCCTGTTCCGTTTTGAAACCGTCTTGCTGTCGCCGTTATACAAATTTTCCTACTGCGTCTCGCTGCCCATCAAACGAAACGGAATTATTCTTACGTTGCCGATACGTTACGTTTGCTGTTTTTACTCTCGACGTAAGCGTTTAAACAAGAAAAACATAAATTAATAAAAATACTTAATGAACATTTTTTATGTGAAAAATCAAAGCAAAAAAATTCATAGACACACATACTACATATAGAGACGAGACTCGCGCATAGCCGAAAAATACGCGCGCTTTATGGCACAGTGTGTGTGTGTGTGTATGCGACAAAAAAAAACCTCTTCTTTACCTTCGCATACAGCCCCCTCTACACCCCCTCTCGTAGTGCGTGTGCCCATTGGAATTTGTACCCGTGAATCGCAATTACAACATACACAAACAGAGAGATTGAGAGAGGCAGCAGCAGCCTCTCTCTCACTTTAGTATTCTACGCCTCGCTCGCGCCTTCTTTCATACCTCCGACTCGCTCTGGCCTACTGCTTGGTCTTACTGCTTGCTCTCCCCATTCTAAGCAGTTAAAGTAGAGAGAGCGAGCGCATAAAAAGAGAGCAAGAGAGTTTTGTAATACAGGGCGCCACAAGCAGTGTGGTGTATGTTTGTGCGTGAGAGTGGGAGCAGGAAAGGAAGACTTGCATTTGCATTCTTGTTTTGCTTGCACTCGTCTCTCTGTCCCCCGTCCCCCTGCCGCGCTCTTGGCATTTTCATTCATAAGCGCATTTTTACTATTTTGTTTAGAGAGAGAGAGAAGCGAAGCGGCAGCAGGCAGGCCTTTCATTTGGTGACAGTCCAAACACAAAATTAAATGTTCGAAATTTCTGTTTAAATTGTATATTCCTCCCCCCTTTTTTTTTTATATCATGGAAGGTTTACCGATTCTGCAGCAGGTATGGTGCTATATATCGGGTTTAACCCAAACCTACCTCACGCCATACGTATACCCAACATTTCGCCGATTAAATTATGCAAAACATGTCGTCTGAGAGGGGGAGACAGGGACTACGGATCCATCGTCTGATCTGTTCCATCCAATAGAAATCAAAAGGCGTTGGCTAAAAATACAAAAGAGATTGTGGACTGAGAGGGGGAGGAAGGGGAAGAGGCAGAGGCAGCAGGAAAAAAAGAGTAGCAAAAGGCGCAAAAAATTTCCGCGAATTTTTTATTACCGTTTTGTGTATAAAAAAAAAAAAGAAATGTGTGGCATGGTATGTGTGCCTGCTGATGCCAGGCGAGGCGTAAATACCACGCCCACATGTAGCTATGGCTGTAGGTTTTTCGCCTCCCCCACTATCTGGGCAGAGGCGCTTTTTATGATCCGTAATTTGGACGGGGGCTGGTCCGGTCCGGTCCGGTCCGGTCCGCATAAGCCAAAAGAGTATTAGTACCCTCCAGTACTCTTTCAGAATAGGTAATGCGGGAATATCCGCTGAGGGTCTGGCAGATCTAACTTAACTCCCGCCTCTCCCACGCACCTGGCCACGGGTCGATTGGATACCATTCCCCACTTCTCCAGCAGCAACAGCGGCCATCTCTTGGAAGGATAGAAGAAAGGAAGAAAGGAAGGGGGGCTTGTTGTTAATTCAACAAATAAACCAAAACCCACATTGAAATGTTAATAATAGTTTTTGTTTGTTGTATGTTTGTGTGTGGCCTCGCTTAGCGTTTTTTTTTTTTTTTTTAATTTTTATGTGGTGCCAAAATTAAAAACATTTGCTGTATACATATTTAGCAAGTTTTGGCTACTTTTTTTTTTTGCAATACCTTGAGAGACCACCAAACCAAATCAAACCCCTCTACCCGTCTACCATCCCATTTGCCTGTATCTTTTCGTGTTTTAATCAGAGATTCTCTTCGCAGTGGCGTTTGTGGTTGCATTTTTTGTCTTTCAATTGGCTGCATTCTGTAGACGAAAATCTTATTTATAAATATAAATTGAACACAAGACGACGAGGTGGTGGGATCTCTAGATCTGTGTGGTGTGTGGTGTATGGTGTGGGGTGTGTGGAGGAACATCGTCGTACCCCATCCATTGGCGTTGGCCTGGCAATAAAATAGATTAATTTAAATGTCATTTTTGTCTAGACGCCGCAGACAACGCGACAAAACAACGTCCGAGAGCAGAGCAGTGGCAGTGGCAGAGGCAGAGGCAGCGGCAGCGGCAGAGCGTTTTCTTCTATGTTTATAGATCAGTTACATATATGTATATATGTATATCTACACCCAGATATCTTGCTGCCGACTCTTGTCATATGGTGGATCTTTTGCTGATACACGCCCACTCTTGAAGCAGGGGTGGGGGAAACTTTCGATACTCTAAAACTTTTCCTCAGCATTATTATGGATCTTCTTATTGTTATTATAATAATATTTGTTGTCTGGGACCCCCCGCCCCATGCAAATGAGTGGCGGCGTGTCTTTCTCTGTCTGACGTAAAGGAACAAAATCTGGTTTAAAAACCTCCATGTAATGGACAACAAGACGATTTGGAATTTTGGGTATTTCCTGTTTTTTTTTTTTGGTTTTTTTTTTTTTTGTATCTTTCTGTAGTCGTTTTTTGTTGGTGGATTTCTGCCATTCACCAATTGGTTTCTTGACCAGTTTTTTTTTGAGCCGCTGACGCAGATCGTCGTCGTAGTCGTCGGCTTAATTAGCCAAACAGTCGCCAAAAAAAAGGCCAAAAAGAAACAACGAGAAAGAAAGGCAAGATTTTGGGTTAAACGACGCTCGAAATACTCTTTTAAGAACGATTAAGACTTGGGATTTAGTTGTTCCGTTATTGTTAAATATGGAATTTAGGTTCAGAAATATGTCCAATGTGCTGTACAATCCTGATTCATCAGTAATACCCTTCTTTAGAGGGTATCTTAAAAACTAGGTTGGCAACTTTTTTTTTATCGCTGCGTTGAAGCGGCGGCAGAGTTCAAATATCGAAGAATTTTATGTTTATTTTGTTTAGATTGACTCGTGGGTGTGTAGAGCACCCCGATAGGAGGGGGGTCGGGTTCGGGTTCGGGGATGTGGATGTGGATGTGGATGTGTGGCATGCCGTTGAGGTCATGTCTTAACATAGGGAGAGCGAAGCATAACAGAATACAATTAGCTGGCTCTCTTTTCCTCTCTCCCTCTCCATCTATCTGCTCGCCCAATATCTCTGATTTCCATTTCTGTGTGCGTGTCTGAAAAGTAAACCAACGGCATTCCAATGTGTGTGACGCACATAAAGATAGGGAGAGACAGCAACAGAAAGACTGTTTTCATTGACGAATGCAAAGAATGCTTATGCTATCTCCCTCGATCCACTTAATTGATAATACACCTGTTGGATGGCCCTGTGGCCCTTAGGTTTCTTTTTAGTTGGGGCCTTCCCCCTCGCTCGATCACTAAAATAGATCGTTCGATTCTTCTCGTTATTTGCTCTCCAAAGCCGAAGCCGAAGCCAAAGCCGATGCCGATGCCGATGCCGAAGCCTGGCTGTGTCTATGGGGGTCTGGTCTTCCATTTTTATCTCCGATCTCTTTGTTGCTCTAAAATTAGCTCCAAGCTTCAACTTTCATTGACGCATTTGCTCACCTTGTTGTTTTTTATGGCTTATTGAATTTTTTTTTGTATTTAAATTTCATTTGTTTGGCCAGTTTATGGTTTGCTATTTATTAATCTGCTTCCATTTTTGAGAATTTGCACATTTTATTTAATATTCGACTCGGTTTCGTTTTGTGAAACTCTGTAGGGTGCACAAGTCAGCGTGATGGACTGCTTGCCGGTCAAGCATCTCGAAGGCGTATCACATGACTGGCGACAAATGTTTCGCAAGTAGTTTGCTATTAAAACATTTCAAATTGATCGCGCTCTCAATATTTTTGGATTCTATTTTTTGTTGTTGTTATGTTTTCAACATTTACCCCCCGCCATCGGCTTAGTTATAACTTTGATTCCCTCCCAAGAAATCACGCCACAACAATCTGTGTCTCGCATAATGAAACCGAAAAAAAAACCCCGCTAAACGAGAAGCAATAACAAAGGCAGAGGCAGAGGCAGAGGCAAAGTCCGCGAGCATAAACTTCTAATAGAAATGTAAACAGGTGGCAATGAACTTTATTATATTTTCATGCTCCAAGTCCTTGAACCCCGCCAAAATCCCACAAAAACTAAAGCGTAGAAGAAGCACAGAGCACAGAGCGGAGCAGAGCTTCTGCGGCAATGAACTTGACGACGTCAATGGCGGACGGACGGACCATTGGGCAGACTCTGTTTTTGCTGTTGCCTTTTGTGGACCTGTTCTTGAGTTCCGCTTTGGAGCGCGCTGCTTCTTCTTGTGTTATTGTTTGTCTTTTTGAGCGGCGGGTGGACGGAAGGACGGGTAGACGGGAGGGCGGGCGGCCTATACCTCTGCGCAGCAGAAACTTAATTTATTGCGTGTTGGGGTCCGGCCACTGTTGATTAACAGAGTGGGGAGCCCTGCCCATGTTAAGTTAACAGAGTTGGAACTGCTTTAAACTCTGACCTGTTCTCATCCAGATCGTTCTCTGTCTTCTCTCCTTGCAGAGCAACGGTACACAACAACAGCAGCAGCTTCAGCCCTGCAGCGGGGCCAGCATTGCAGCGGCCGCCACCATCGTCTCGGCTGCATCTTCGAGCAGCAGCAGCAGCAACAGCAGTTGCAGCAGCATTGAGCAGACACAGACGTCGTCGCAGCAACAGCAAACGTTCAACATTGCTGCCACAACAGCAACGACACAAGCGGCTACCATGCCGTCGGCAATGGCCAAGGAGAAAGCCACAACGCCAGTGTCCTTAAGCGAATCGAATTTCATGGAACTGAAACTGAAAGAGCAGCTGGTCGTCGTCGTTGAAGCCATGGCCGCCACCACAGCGGCGTCCCGATTGCAACAGCACACGTGCGGCTGTGGGGCAGCCTCTGCCACAACTATCGGCACCGGCAGTGCCACAACGACGATGACAACAACGGAGAACAACAACAACAGCCGCTATGGCAGCAGCAACAAGTATCTGACAAACGGTAAGTGTGAGAGGAGAGTATAAGCTTCCCTTATCAACATGTGGCAATGATTCCATTCTCTGTTCTCTGTTCTCTCGCAGGCCACACATCGCCTTTGGCAGCAGCGGTGGCCAGCAACAGTTCGTCTGTTGCCTCGACGCCGCAGTGCAGCAAAGTTTGCTGTCGGCATCAGTACCAAAATGGAATTTCCCACGAATTGAGGCAGCAACAGCAGAAGGACCTCCTGGACATGTTGCAGCAGCATCAACAGCAACAGCAGCAGCAGCAGCAACAACAACAACAACAGCAGCAGCAGCAGCAGCAGCAACAACAACAGCAGCAACAACAGCAGCAGCAACAGCAACAACAACAGCAGCAGCAACAACAACAACAGAATCCTCCGCCTCGCAGATCCCCAAATGATTTCATCTTTGGCCGCTACATCGGGGAGGGCAGCTTCAGCATGGTCTACCTGGCGGTGGACATTCACTCGAGACGCGAGTATGCAAGTAAGTACTCGATGAGAGAACAAAGACAAAGAGAACCTTAAGCAGTAACTGTAAAAGAATCAACCGTTGAACGGACACTGTCTACCACCCACCCACTCACCTCTTGAGCTACAAGGCGTGGCTACATTTGGCATTCACTTTCGCTCTGCCGCTGCCCGCCCACAGCATTTGTATGGCCTCTGCTTGGCGCCAGCGCGAGAATGCGGTCGCCATGTAGACAGCGACAGAGACAGAGACAGAGACGGCGCCGTCGTCGTCAGCGATGCCTGTCACCTGCTTAGCAGATATCTTGCCAACAATCGCCGCCGCCGCCGCCATACAAATACACTCCCCACTCGCGATTAGTGCATATGAATAGAAAATGCTCTCCGCTGATGTGCGATTCTAGAAGAGAGAGTGATGGAGAGGAGGGGCAAAGACTGATACAAGTCATAGAAGCCTAGATTAACAAAAGAGAGTGCAGCGCAATCAGCAGAGAGGACAAGCAGTAGAAATAAAAGACAGACAGAGAGAGAGAGAGAGCGCTCAGGACAGCAATCGTGCGGCTGCTGACAGGTGACAAAAGTGGCGCAAGATCAATCACTAAACTTGAGGAAAATTATTCAAATCGTTATGAGAATGTTCGTTTGGTAGACAGGATGCTGGCATTTATCGTAAAGCAACACCTTCAATGACTATGATCTAATCGAAAAGACAATGGGCATCCTTGTGGGGTGGACAGCGAATGAGACCTTTAGAATATGGCTGACGGACAAGCAACAAAGTTGTCGCTGGCACAAAAATAGCAAGCATATCAGTGTCCACTCACGTGACTCTTTTGTTATTGGTAATTTCATCACTTCGCCTAACAGTTTTTATCAGCGAGCAGAGAGCAAACAAATAGCCCAAACACACACCGAAACGCGCCTGAATTTGGACGTTAGTCTGCCGCCTCTCCCCTACCCTACCCTCGCTATCAGCATAAGTACATCAGTAGGCGGCGGCGTCTGCTCTGATAACGCCCGCACGGTATTGACGCCAGCTTTATTCTCGTTTTCTTTCTTTCCTTCTTTCTGTTTTTGCTACGTTTTGTTTATCGATTGGAAACCAAAAGCCGCCTAACTGTTGTTGATTGACGTTAGTGCGGGTACGGACTCTTGCACTCTCCCTCTTACCCTCTCTCTGTCTCTCTCTCTCGCTCTCTTTCTATCGCACACAGGCAAGATCAGCTGTTTTGTGTGATAATCAAGCAGTGGTGTCGGTCGGAAAGCGTCAACAAGTTGACAAGTGTCGCCAATCTGGTTCGCCTATCCCCAATCTCTTTCTCCCCCTCCGCCCCGTCCCACCCCACCCCGCCACGCCACACTCCACTTTCATCTTTTATTGCAATTTCAATTAACAGCAAATAAAGTTGTCTGGAAACAAGTAAAAGCAGCTGTTAGTTGTTGTTCACTAGATTTCTAGAGGTTATATACATATAGATTGTACATATATACCCACTTATTTTGTTCTACCTTGTTGTTTATTTGTGTTAAGCCAATTTGTTTAAAGATTTTTCACAGTTGTTGCTTCGCTTTGTGTATGGTGCTGCATGTGTGTTCTTGGGTGTGTGTGTGTGTGTGTGTGTGCAAGTGTATGTGTATGGGGTGGCAATGATTTTGCCATAACAGCAAATCAATATGCCCTGGAGCAGCAGCAGAAAAACAGGGGAACAGAAGCCCCGGCACGTGTCGCATAAATGCAAACACCAGCAAAAACCGAAACAAACAAAGTTGTAGAAGCGTGAAAGAGTAAGGGACGATACGAGGAGGGAGCGAATGAATGGCGCGTGGCTGGAAAATGCAATTGCAACTAAGCTCATTTGATAAGCAGTGAAGAAGCAGTAGGGAAGCAGTTGGCAACAAGCGGTATAGTGCTGAAAGCAGTCCAAATGGTAGTGCACAAGGTGCATTAATACACGGGGAGGCATTCGGAGAGATAGGCGTAAAATATGCAACTCAAAGATGGGGAATGTCCCACCATACTTATACTATAAATACACCAGGGGAATGCAACAGTGCTTTAACCGTTTTCACTCCCTCTCTCTAAATATACACATACATACAACTAAAATTTATCTCGCTTTGCTGGCTTTGTGCCCCATTTAATTGCATTTAAAACGAAAGGCAATAATAACAAAGTCAAGTTGTATAAAAATAGAGAAGCGCACACGCATACGAAAGTCGTAAAAACTTTTCCCCCAACGAACGCGTGTGCCTCTCTCTTGTGGCGTCTGGCCTCTGGGAAATGTTATGAAATCCCCAGCAACAACAACAAAAATTGATAAACAATTTGAATAAACAAAATTAGTTTGCACTTTTGACATTGAAATCGTCGTGTTGCAGTTGCTGTTGTTTTTGAGCGGAACGGCAGTAAATAGTGCAACAAATGTGGCAAATATTGACAGTTCTGAAGGTCAACAGATTGGTGTCCATTTTACGCCTCCCCCGCCCCCACCTCCTACTATACATCGATTGAAACATTATAGTAGGCCAAAAATGTCTAGCAACAAATGTTGCCAAAGCTCTTTTTGCCTCCCACTTGCTGCTGCCCGCCGCCGCAGCCTTTTCCTTTCCATCCATCACACACACTACTCACCATGAACGAAGCAGTTTTCGTTTTCATTTTGTGTTGTGTGACTACGCATTGCGTACGAGTATGCGTGTGTGTGTGTGCGTGTGTGTGTGCTTCGTTCAATGACGACAACTGCGGCGTCTATTTGACGCCATACGAAATTCTCCTATGCCATAGGCAGGGGCTGGCTTTTCACATTGCCTGCCTCGGTATTTCATCATCTTTTGCAACAACACACAACCACAAAAATGACGACGACTAGAAGTATATTTATTTTTCATTTACCTGAATGAGGGAACGGAAGATTTTTCTCAGTAACACGTGCTCTGGTTCTGCCTCTGTGTTTGATGCTTCTTACAAAGCGCAGATAATCCTTGGCGCAGACGTCACTGGTTTAACAAAGAGAGATACAATATAGAGAAGAGCAAGCAGCAGCTGCTCTGCTTGAATGATTTCCTGGAATTTCTAGCCGCAGCGCGAGAGCGAGTGCGATACAGTTAGAGCTGTGCACCCACGCAGCGTTTACACTTTGAACTGCTTGCTGTTTACAGTAGTGTCTAGAAAATTAGCACCAGTTGTTGTTAATGCTGGGTTTTAATGGGAATTTAAATATTTTTCAAGTACTCTTTCGGGGTAGGGGCACACACCTCCACCTCCCCTTTTGGGCCACTGAACTCTCTCGAACTCGTTTCGCCTTTTTCTCGTGTCGATTCTTGTCTCGAGTCTCCCTTCAGGAGGGGGTTGGAGTGTCGGTCTGTCTGTTTCGTGTTGTATTTTCTTTTCATTTACCTTTATAACAGCGCTCCTTGGCCCCTGTTCTTTTTTCTCCTTTTCGTTTCTTTTCTGTATGTTTTATTTTTAATTACACATTTATTTTTGGACAGCAGCTGCTGCTGCGCAGTCGCAGCTGGCTGAGGCTGAGGGCAGCAGCAGTCACAGCAGCAGGGTATTCAACTGAAATAGTCTGCCTCCTCCTCCCCACCTCTCCGGGGGGGTACGGTACTCGTAGTAACATGATATGGGCCCCGGAATTAGGTCATTCAACCCGAATCCTTTAAGCTTTTGGCTTTTATCTTTGGCTGATTCATAATTTTGTTCCGTTTTTTTGCACCTTGCGTTCCGAGTTCCCTTGTGTTCTTTTTTTTTTATGGCTGCAGCAGCTGCAAAGGTAGTCGAAGAGAGGGGGTGCTGTGGTAGATGGGTGGCAAGTGGGTGGCCTGCTAGTGCACGTGCCAAGGACATTTCCACGGAGCGGCTGTGCCGCCTGACGACGCTTTATGAGCAAATTAAATAGCGCCAGGAAGTCGCGAGAAGCAGCAGTAGATGTGTCCCACAGGCCTGACAATGTTTTTTTTGGTGCCACTGTATTTCTTTTATTGCACACGCACACAGCGAAACTGTTGTCCCACATTTGTGCCGCCTCTCTCTCTCTCTCTCTCTCTCTTTGTCGCTGTCTATCTTCTCGTTCTCTGTGTGTGGCTAACAGTTATATTCAAAATCCTTTGCGTGCAGTCAATATGTCGCCAGTGGCCCCCACTTTACACCCCCGCTGACTCCAAAGAGCAATAAACTTGGTCAAAGATTGGCGAAGGGGGAGAGGAGTAACAAAAAAGGAGAAACGAAACTCCCAAAAACAAAATGATTATGACACACACACACAACATACACGCACACACGTGGAAATCACTCGCAGGCTCTTTGCTCTCTTTCTCTCTAATACTCCACTGCTCACCTGTGTGTGTGTGTGTGTGTGTGCTTGTATTTATTGGATGTCCCCCTGGTCACATTTTGGCCTCTGCTTCATTCTCCCTCTCTCTATATTTCTTTTCTGTGTTTCTTCTTTTTGTGCTCTTTGTGGAAATATTCAAATTAGGTTCCAGCGAACCAGGCGCCCAGCGTTACGTCATTGAGAGCGGGTTGCGCGTTTGCCAATTAATGAAATTGAAATTGGAAGTGGAGAATTGGCAAGGGAACACGAAGCAAAAGATTCATTTGTGACACATTTTTGTCAGATTTATGACACCAGAAAGACAGAAACGCAGACAACAAAGATGCCGGCAAACGCCTTCGCAGACAGACAACGTCTTATATTATACATACAAATTAAACAACTGCGGTAGCGGATTGTGTTTTTAAAAAGTTTTTATTTTACTTCGAACTTCACTGATATAGATTTAAGTAGAGGGTCACAAAGGAATTCCGGGCCAAGGGATTGCGCGATCTTAATATTTAGCTAGACTTTGCGGTGTCGCTGCTGGATCAAGACTGGTTTGAACTTTCTGATCTTTGCATCGTTGATCCCTTTCGGGAATCGTTTTTCTATAAACATTTCAATTGATTTCGCCATCCCGAGTATTAGATTTCGTCATCCAAAGAGAGAACTGTAAAAGGCCTAAAGTGCAGGATCT